TAAAATTGATTTATTTCAAGTTCCATTTAGTTTGAACGTCGTATTAGATTGTACCACTTCGATCAAGTGATACTTTCCATGCTCGTTCTACAAATACTTGTTATTGAAATATTTGGATAATATTTAAATAAAGAAATACAATGGAAATAAATACAAATAGAAATATGTGAAATAATTTTTTTTACAATAAATAGAGTTAAACATTTTTTTAAATATGATACAAATGAATATATAACATAAAAATATGTACATACATAAGGGATTGACATAAATGCAAATGAATATTACAACCCAAAATATAATTATCAAAAAGTAAGTATTTAAAATTACAAGGACCATAATGGGAAAACAGAAACTAAAAGGACCAAAATAGTACAAACAGGAATTTAAAGGTACAAAATAGAAAAACTGAAACTTAAGGGGCTAAAATAGCAAAAACATAAACTTAAAGGATTAAAATAACAAAAATAGACATTTAAAGGACTAATATAGCAAAAATAGAAACTTAAGGGACTAAAATAGAAAAAATAGAAACTTAAAGGGCTAAATAGTTATTACAAATAAATCGAAGCCCAAATAGCAAATATTAAATAATACAAGTACCAGAAATAAAAATAACTCATAAATAATATTAAAGACTAAAATGAAATAAACAAAGATATAAAGGACCACATAATAATTAAACCAAATACCAATCATTAACTAAAATAAAATATTTACAAATGTCATGGCCATATTCGAATATCAAGGAAAATATACAAAACATTAAATCAGTGACTAAAATGTAACATTTATAAACAATGGGACCAAAGTCAAATATTTACAAGAATGACATAACATACAATAACAGGACTGAAACATAAGTTCTGAAAAATAAATACTCGAAATCAAAGAAATTAGAACTTCATTAATTGGCTTCAATATGACATTACAAAGTGTGAGGGACCTGAAATGCTATTATACCCTAAAGCAAAAACACAGAGAAGCCCCCTATGAAAACGGTGTCGTTTCACGTGTGGTACTTAAGCCTAAAACCGAGGCTTCCTCACCTATCTCCCTCATTTACCCCATGCTTAAAAAAATAGAAGAGAGAGAGAGTTAAGAACTCTCTCAACTTTCCCATTGTCGGGGAAAGAAACCGTCGTCCATCGACAACAGTCGCGACGGCTCACAGCGGAGCCCACGGTGGTCGGAGGGATCAAATGATTCCTAAATGGCCATTGATCTAGACCGTTGGATGGGCCAACTGTCTAGATCGAATGGTCCTTGTTGGTGCGGCGCTGGGGCAGAGAAGGGGAAACCCTAGTTTCGTTGGGTCAGTTACTGGGCCGGTTTGGATCGTGTTGGGCCGTTCGGGTTTCAATCGGGTCGACTGAATTGGGTCTGGTACTGGGTCTAAACTTGGTAGTATTGGACTTGTACTTCTAGTTGGGCTCTGGGTTAATTAAATTTTCTTCTAGTGAGCCTACAAAATAAGTGTAAATATATGTTAATAATAATAATAATAATAATAATAATAATAATAATTAATATTTTTTATAGACTTGAACAAAAATATGTGTTTACAATTGAAAGATACCAATAAGTCAATTTAAAATATCAAAGACCCAAACCTTGCTACTCGGCAAGTCTTCTTCGGTATTTTTTTAAAACTAATTAATGTTATTATTAGAGTGCTCAAAGTCAAACGGACGCATTAATTTTCCTTTTAGCCTTAAATTCCCGCTTTTCAATATTAATAAGGAAAAGGGAAAATCAATTAAGAAAACTCTGATTTCGAAGACGTTTTTTTTGAAAAATCATCGGTGATCGGTATATTTATCGATCTAATATTGATCAGATTATATTTTTTGATCTAACACCCTTAACAGTAAAGCGCGTCCTTTGTACCGCACTATAGGCTGACAGGGATACACGTGAGTAAAGTGCGGTCCCTGGGCCGCGCTATACCTGTGTATTACGTGAAGTCAAATTAGATTATAAAATTTGGTGAGCCAACTCCTCCATTATTATTTAAATAATTAAATATGCAAGTTGACTCTCATTTTGTAAATTAATAAAGCTCTCTTACCCTCCAATTTTCATCCCTTCTTTGGTTATTTCATTTTTTTCTTTAATAAATAATTAGTCAAAAATAGAGGAGTGGAACTTTCCGATACCAGATCACGATCATTACGAGATTCTTGAAAGCTTAATTTCTACTCTTAACCTTTGTATATACATAAATTGCAATTTTAATCCATTCTAGTCTTTATATTTTCAAATCTTCACTTGTTTTGATTTCACATTAAAAAATAAAAAACAATTTTATTAAATATTACTTCAAATTCTAATTAAAAATAAAGTTAAATCTTATGAAAATTATACTAATAAAAAACATGTAATGATTAAATTTAACTAGTTTAATTAAACTAATAATTAAGTCCTTGCCCCTCGCAAAATTTACTGGTTTAATTAAATTTTAGGATCATTTTATCTTTAAAATCAAATTTTGACTTATAATTTTTTTTGGTTTAATTTACTCTTTAAGTCTCTTCAATTTTAAAACTAGTAAAATTAATTCATGACTCCTTTAAATTTTATGATTTATTAAATTTTAAAGATTTTATAGAGAAATAAACTTAATTATCTCTCATCATTCGTAAAACTTATAGAGAAATAAACTTAATTATCAAGAATATTTTTTACATAAGAATTATTCACTAGTTAAATTTAATCATGACTAATTATTTATTAAAGACAAAAAGGAAATAACCAAAGAAGGGATGAAAATTAGAGGGTAAGAGAGCTTTATTAATATACAAAATGAGAGTCAACTTGCATATTTAATTATTTAAATAATAATGGAGGAGTTGGCTCACCAAATTTTATAATTTAATTTGACTTCACGTCCTGTCAGCCTATAGCACGGTACAAGGGACGCATTTTACTGTTAAAGGGGTTAGATCGAGAAATATAATTTGATCGGTGTTAGATCGGTAAATATACCGATCATCGGTGATTTTTCGGGAAAAATACCGATTTCGAAAGGCATAATACATTTTTAAGTTTTTAAATTATATTTTAAATTAATTTTTGGTATTTAAATATTTTTTCATTAAAAATATATGTTTAATATTGCTAACGTTATATTTTTAGATTTCTGATTCGTAACAGTATTAAATTTAACCGTTAATCAACACTTGTCATTCTTATATTTTAAAAAAAAAATATTTTAATTTTTTTTTAATTAAAAAAAGTCACCTGCGCTATTCCACAACTCCCCCTCCCCTTGCGAATTTCCCCTTCCCTTCGCCTTTGCTGGCCCCATCATCCCATGCTACAATTAATTGTATTTAATACTAAATTTAGATTAAATTTAATAATAAATTAGAGATTAAATTTAGAGATTAAATTTAGAGATTTGAATATATGATTTAAAGATTTATATGTAGAAATTTATGTATTTAGAGAGATTGGGATGATGGTAATACGAATGGTCGACAGAAGAGTTTCGACGATAGGTGACTGGTCGTTCAATGATGATAAAGAGAGCCTGTAATAATCAACGGCAATTGATATCAGAGTTGAAATAAGTGATTTTAAGTTTTTTTTATAATCTTAAGGGTCATTTTGATATTTTGAAACATTTGAATTTTCTTTAAAAAATAATATTTTTATTTTTTAAAATTTTAAAAAAATATGAGGTAGATATGTGACAAAATTTAATAGTCATTACGATTCAAACACTTAAAAATATAATAAAAAAACGTTAAATACATAATTTTTAACAAAAAATTCTTAAGGAACAATTAATTTTCAATATAGTTTAATATCTTATTTTTATATTAAGTTATTTCAAAAGGTAAAGATCACAAGACACCCCCGGTACACGATAGCAGGAAGCCATCTCTTTTTCTCTCTCCCCCAACCCCACGAGTAATGCCTAAACTGAGCGATACCACACGTGTAAACATCGCCTTCCGTTATGCCAGATTAACAAAACCCTATCTTCGTACGTGCGACGAGACAATGACGTCTTCCTCCCAACTGGCTTATATTCTCCGCAGCTTTTGAAAAAATGGGGGAAAAGTTGTACTAAGATTGCAGCACTGAATCTGACAAGAGAGCTTGGAATTTTGATTTTCTTTTCTTTTACGAAACTTTATAAAATACTAATAATATTTATTTTTCTCGAGAAAATGTTTAAAAAGGGACGCAGACAAAGAGAGAGGAGAGAGGGTTTTACCCACATTGTAAGAGTGGGCGAAAGCTTAGAGCTGAAGGAGTAAGAAAAGACTGAAAAAAGAGAAAGGTAAGATAATTTTATTTATTTATCATTTTTTATTTTTTTTATTGATGAGAGAAGTGGGATTTCGTTGGTACAATTTCAAGATTTTTTTTCTCAGATCAACGAGTGAAAAAGGGAAGGAAAACCTAGAGCGAAAAAAAATGTTGTATGATGATTTATTTTCATGAATATTTTGTGGATATCAGATTTTTATTTTATTTTATTTTGTAGAGAAGCATAGGAAATTTGAAGTATACATTGGTGGATTGAGATTGGGATTGGAATTGGGGCGCTTTACAATGTGACCAAGTTAAACACGGAATCAGAGGCATGCTATTCCAATTTATCTCTTTGTTAGGCTTTAATCAGTTTTATCAATTAGAAGTATTTGAATATTGTGTCATTTTCTTCTGATTTTAATTTCGTGTTTTCGTTAAAATTTTACCTGGAAAATGTTGAAATTTGGTGATGCATATCATGAAATGTTGGACGGCTTATGCTTGGAATTAGGGTTTGGCACTTTGCAAATTGGGTTTATTTCTTGTTGTGTTTAGTTGCGCTACATTGTACGGCTACTCTATGTTAGGTCTGTATGGAGTTTAGAAGCGAGCTTTTGCTGTTGTGTTCTTTTAGATGTTTTCATGTTACTAAAATAGAGCAGTTTTTTGTGCAATGGATTATACTTACTGGGTTTTGTTTAATGCGCTTATTTCATACAGTTTGATGTGCTTTGAGAGGAACTTATTGCAAGCAAGTGTCTGCTGATGTGATGGATAAGAGAAATCAGAAGAAAATGGTGAGAACAGGGTTTGGAATTTGATTTTTTAAACCATTGTTGTCAAGGCTTTGGCCTAGGAGCCGTGCCTTTGCAGTAGACAACAAAAGCGCCTCAAACACCTTTTAGCTAGGTGTATTTGATCAGATGCACACTTGGTGTGCCTAAGTGCGCTTTCTTGCAAGGCTACAGACATAAAAAAGCTTGCTTGATTGAAGTTCTCTATCATTTCATTTGTTATAATTTTTTATTAATTTTATTTGGATAGTAAAAAAAGGGGACACTATCAACTCTCTACTTCTCATTCTTCTGATGGATAAGAGAAATCAGAAGAATATGGTGAGAACAGGGTTTGGAATTTGATTTTTTAAACCATTGTTGTCAAGGCTTTGGCCTAGGAGCCGTGCCTTTGCAATAGACAACAAAAGCGCCTCAAACACCTTTTAGCTAGGTTTATTTGATCAGATGCACACTTGGTGTGCCTAAGTGTGCTTTCTTGCAAGGCTACGGACATAAAAAAGCTTGCTTGATTGAAGTTCTCTATCATTTCATTTGTTATAATTTTTTATCAATTTTATTTGGATAGTAAAAAAGGGGACACTATCAACTCTCTACTTCTCATTGTTTAAACATTCAACAACAAACTTGGGGCCATATAGAAATGGTGCATATTTGCCAAAAGCGAACAAATTTTGCATGATAACAATAAATTTTGTAGTCTATAGGTTACACACACACATACTGTTTCACCTTTTTGGGCCTTGCACTTCCATGTTAAGGTCTAGTGTCAGTGCCTTGCATCCTTGACAACACTTTTCTTAACTAGCATTTTTTCTTCCTTATGAGTTATCAATGTAGTCTAATGTCTATTGAAAGATGGAAGAACATCTATTTATTGGTACAAACAAATAAAAGTGCCAAATTCTTTGCATTTTATATTGAACTTTAGAAACTTTCTTGGTCAAGAGTGTTGAATACTGGAAGAATGTAAAGATAGAGGGGCAAGGAGATGGCTAAAATAGAAAATCACCGTGCTTTTACACTCGTGTGCTTTTCCGGGAGTGATTTAAAAGTGGAATGCAAGAAAATATGTCTATTTCCTAGATTGTCTCTTGTTTCCCGATTATGCTGGATTAAAATGTGTCAAGCTAAGGTCACAAATGCATTCCCTATATATTTCCTGGTTTCTTAGTTCCGAGCTGAAAGTGATTATGAAATATATGATTCAAATGTTAAGTAGTAGTGAATCTTACAAGTTACTGTTGATGTCAGGCAATGTTTTGAAATATCGATACCAGGTAGCTAAAAAATGCAGTGGATTATAGTCGTACACAATAATATTGGATTTGATGGTGCTCTATATCTGCTAAAAGAGTTGATGTTTTCATTATTGATTCCCTAGCAACATGTTAAAATTATTTTCATGTGCTTTACTATTGAGGGGAGGGTTGTTTAGAGCATAAAATTGAAAACAAGGTTAGAACTTGGGCTGATTTCAATGAAGTGTTTAGTGCATAATATTGAACACAAGGATAGATCCATGTCTATAACTTGTTAATTCATTCGCAAGTTTTGTAGAACTTGGGCCAATTTGAGATGAAGGAATACAACTTCGGATCCTGTTTTGAAAACATGTTTAAGTTGTTAAGAATTTACTTTCCGCTGCAATCGGTCTTTTAAGGCCGTGATTTTTGTTTTTTAACTCACAGTAAGTATTCAGCTGTCAAGATCTGACTGCAGATGATTCAGGCCAAATTTGATTGAATTCAGAATGATTTAGGGTCTATGCTGTTGCTTGGTTGCTGAAATCAATCAGAGATTGATTTGGTGACTTGCATGGCTTAATATTGCTAATTCTTAGTGAATATAGGAGTTTATTACGTCTCATGAGAGCTGAAGTTGGGTTACTGTTATTGGAAACATTATAAGTTTGTAGTAGGAGGAGGTAATTGCTGAGGACATTGGGTGTTTTATATGATTCTTTAGTAACAGAGAATAACAAATGACAACTCATTTTTTATTGTAGCAATCATGCACTGCAAGGGTTAAGACTGTTCACTTTGACTTCATTCTAGTGGAGGATAAAATTTTAGTGTTTTTGGTTCTTAAGAATCTTGATTTTTTATGTAGAACAACTGTATTCTAGGCTCTGAAGCTTGAGAATGTAAGGTGAATTTTGAAGAAGAGCTATAGCTATAATTTCTGTGAGTTTGTTGAAGGGAAGCCATTATAGGATATTTCATCAAGGACATGCAGTAAGAGGTTGACTTTATTTTTCCTGGAAATGAGAGGAATCTTCATGGTAAAATTGAAATACGGTGCACCATGTATGTTGCTGGGTTGGAAATGCTGTCATTGCAGCTGCAAGTTGACTTAGAGAGTGAGCTTTGCATAGGGTTATATTTGTTTATGCATGTCATTGTTATATAAATGATACAAAGGGAAAATCTTATTAGAAGAATGCGTGTTATGTTGCACAAAGTAAAGCTAGGTTGCATATTAACTGATTGCTTAAATTTTATAAAAACGTATCAGAAAGTAAACTGCAAACAGGTAAAGAACTAAAGGTAAAGAACTAAAGTAATAGATGAGGCGGAAAGAATTTCCCAATACAATCCTAAAGAATGGCTTTTGTGTTGTCTCATTGATAGACCTGTCAATTATCTTAAGCTCATTTGCCTCTTAGCCTGTTTACCCATTTAAGGGTCATACTCTTACATTCTTGTCCGAAGAGGTATCAAATCATAAATGATGCCCGAGTAACATTTAGGTTGATGTTGGTTGCATTAATGTAAGTAGTTATGGTCTCTGATTTACAGTCCTTAAAAAATCTCTATATTCATATATCTAGTGATATAAAATGGACTATAGAAATTATTATATATCATATGTATTTTTTGTGGAAGTCCTTTTTCTTTGTGTTTAAAATATTGCTTGTTCTATTTGTATACATCTCAAGTTGCCCGTTGTTTATCCATAATTCATCATTATCTTAAAGAAACCTGCTATTTTAGATGGTTCTTGGAGTCATTAAGGAATTGCCTGTCCAGCTCAGTTGGTAGAGCGCAAGGTTCTTAACCTTGTGGTCGTGGGATCGAGTCCCACGGTGGGCAATTCATAATTCTGACTGCCGGAGTCATTAAGGAGTCCCATGGTTCTTGGAGTCATTAAGGAATTGCCTGTCCAGCTCAGTTGGTAGAGCACAAGTCTGTTTAAAGGCATGGATCTTGTTTTGTGTTTTCTTTCCCCCTTTCCATCTTAATGTTGCTTATTTCTCTTAGGTACCTCCAAAAACTGTAAAAAGATTAATTCGGCGTTACCTAACTCAAAAAGTTAATACAAAAGCAGAATCTGGAAACTGCAACGTGTGCTCTGCTCCTTGTTCTTCCTGTATGCATCTTACTGAATCTCAAGTGGGTTTGAAGAAGAGTGAGTTTTCTGATGAAACTGATCGTGCTGCTTTGGCAACTCAATATTCTATCAACGAGGATAAAACAAGTGACAGCTTACAGCATACACATAGTGAAGCAAGTAATGTACAGTCTGTCAATTCAAGTCATAATTCTTACTCTGAAAACATTCAGAGTAAAGCAACAACTAGGCCATCTGAAGCGTCAGAAATTGTTGGGATTCAGGGAATCTTCTCAAGCAAGTATGATGGTTCCAAAGGTACTGAAGGCCAAGATGACAGTTTTTCATGTGCTAGTAGAGCCAGTGATGCAAATGCAGCTTCCAGTTGTTTTAACAAGGATTTATACAGTAAGAATTCATCTCATAGTTCAGTGTCAGTTTGTAGTTTAGGATCTGGAAAAGTGCTCTCTTCCCAGAAGGTAGACTCGTCTGAACTTCCTTCTGTAAAGGAGGTAGATGCCGAAGGTGGTTCACTGAGGATCCAAAGTGACAAGGGTGCTGTTGGATGCAGTTCTGAGATTTCTACCAAAATCCATCCGAAGTCAGAAGCAGATATTGATGGGAAACCACTGGATAAAGCCGGTAAAAGCTTGAATGAAGATGAGTCGAATGAGTTGGTTGAGTTAACTGGCAAGGTGGAGTCGCCATTGCAAGCAGCTTCTGGTGATGATAGTTCTGAATCTGTTGCTACTGAATATGATGTAAGTATTTTTATTTTGTTCTTTCTGATTTCTGCAACGAAGAAGATGTGCATGCATGACTGATTATCACTGGATCTTTTAGGACTTAAATTGTGGGTGTTGTCAGTTTAGCTTAATGTAATTAATCTAGGAGGAAAGATATTAAAGATACCATATTTTATTGCTCTTCTCTTTGCAGTACGAGTGGAGGTGCCATCACTAGGAGAATGGGGTTACGGATTATTTTATTCTTGAACTTATTTTATGGTTGTGGATTCTGCTCATATGCTATAATCCTTTGGGTGATGTTACATTGAAAACAAATGTACAGGTCCTTGTCAAAATGGTTTAAGAATATTAAACTGGATTGGTCAAAATTATATTATTAAAGAGAAGCATTTCTTTTTCTTTTGGCTTGTAGGACCGGTAGCTCTATTTTTTATTTGTTCTTTTAAAAAAATTATTAGTAGGTGTTTCTATACCAATGGTTTGCTGATTTTTCTTTTCTTTGTTTTCTCAATTTGTCTGGAATAGGCTAAGGTGTGTGATATTTGTGGGGATGCTGGACGAGAAGATTTGCTTGCTATATGTAGTAAGTGCGCTGATGGTGCGGAGCACACGTAAGTATATACATCCCTTTATCCTTTTGTTTCTCAGCAGTTTTTATTACATTTCTATAATTCTCATCTGCATGCTATTCATCGGTAAATTTTGACATTGTTAATGCTATTGATCAGTTACTGTATGCGAGAAATGCTACAGAAAGTTCCTGAAGGTGATTGGCTTTGTGAAGAATGCAAGCTGGCTGAGGAAACTGAAAGCCGAAAGCAAGGTTAGTTATCAAACAGATGCAATAAGAAATAGCACAATGATTAGAGAATGCACTGACCTCCTTTTATAATTGAATTTTCAAGGTCTAGATTCTGAGGGAAAAAAAGCAAACAGACTTGGCTCATCTACACAAATCTTAGGTAAGAGACATGCAGAAAATCTAGAGGGTGCTTCATCTTCAAAAAAGCATGCTGTTGAAACAAGTATGGGATCACAGAAACCATTGAGCCCCAGTAAAGTACCTGCTTTGTCTCGAGAGGATTCTTTCAAGAACTTAGACAAGGGGAAAGTCAGGCCATCACCGAAGCTTTCTCTTGGCAATCATTCTGGTAATGACATACTGGAAACTGTGTGCTCTCCTACTTCCTGTCCAAGGCTGCAATCACCAAAGCGTAAGCTGATTGATTTGTTGGCTAAAATATTTGTCATATGTTTTCTGACTTCAGCATTGGCGTACTGTTGTATTTGATACAGGTACTTTGCTGAAATCCAAATCATTCAATGGCTTGAATTCCAAACCCAAAGTGAAGCTTGTAGATGAAATTGCTCTTCGAAAACAGAAAATTGCTAGAAAACACGAATCCCTTGGTAGCAAGGAGGAAGCTTCTAGAGGAATGGGGAAATCCATGTCATTTAAATCCACACTCTCAGGACGATTAAATACTACGGAATCAAAGTTTAAAATGCTATCATCTAAATATCCTTGTGTTCAAGATGTGAAGGAATTAAAGCAAGTTAAAGAACGGATATCATTAGAAAGGAGAAATTTAGTGAAACTGGATCGTTCTAGTTCTAGTGTCTCCACATCTAAAGTTGAACAGAAACTGATTCCTCCCACAGAATCAATTTCTCATTCATCTGCAAGCAACAACCGAGATACTAAGGCTATTCGGTCTGATGGTAAAACAAGTACGTTGTCAAGGTCGACCAGCAATCTAGCTCGCAAAGTTGTAGAAAATGCAGTTACTTCTGGTATGCTTTTAACATTCTGATGGAGAGACTGCTAACTTTTTGTTTCCTTTTAACGTTCACTTAGACTAGAATATTCTGTCTTTTTTACTTCATCCTTGTTGCTTCCTTTTGGCTGATCTTAACCAATTTAGAGCATTCTTTTTACTTTGTAGCTTCTGGAGTTCCATCCACCAATGGGTGCATTTCTTCTGAACAGAAATTAAACCAAGTTAACCTGAAGGAGGAACCCTCTTCAAGTTCTCCATGGACAGCTGAGAGGCAATCTAGTCATATAGATGGAATTATATCAGATGGGCTGTCTTGGTCATTGGATTTAAAAAATCAGAGCGAGAGAATGGGTCATACAGCTGAATATTGTTCAGTCTCTCAGGCTTCTGGAGCTGATTTTGTCTGCTTCAAGGAATTTAAGAGAGGAGATAAATAAAGCCAATAAATTGGAAGTTGCAATTGAAGCAGCTACCCGCTTGAGGCTAGGAATATGTGAAAGAACTTCTCACGATCCATCATCACTTTCTGTGAAGGAAAAGAATATGATTTCTGTTGAAGGTACACATGAAAGCCAAACCAATCTTTGTAACCAGGCTGCCATTGGTAATTTGAAGTCGTTTGATTCACATTCTACTGTAGTTTCTTCTGCTGGCAACACCCCTCCTTTAGTTCCTTTAGTTGCTGAGTCTGCTGTCTCAAAGATGTTAGCCATCCCGGAACATGAATACATCTGGCAGTAGGATTCTTCTCCTTCTACTCCATTTTAGTTTATTTTCTTGTACTGCTGCAGTGTGGCATGCCTTGAGACATTTCTTAAATGAGAGCTATTCTGTATTTATGCAGGGGGGATTTTCAGGTGCATAAAATGGGAAAACCTCCTGAGTTTTGGGGTGGAATTCAAGCCCATCTTTCAACCCTTGCATCACCTAAAGTGCTTGAAGTTGTGAACACTTTTCCCCTTGAAGTCCCCTTGAATGAAGTACCTCGCTTGAGCTCTTGGCCTACACAGTTTCAGAATGGTGGCCCTAAAGAAGATAATATCGCTCTATACTTCTTTGCCAAGGACCTTGAAAGGTAGATATAAATACAACTTGTTTTTCCCTGTTCACTCCCTCTTACTCTCTCATTTCTCGTATTGGTTTGATGGTTGATGCAATTTCTCATTTCTTTGCACTTTTTGAACAAATAATTTCTTCTACTTGTGTTGCAGTTATGAGAAGTACTACAAGATCCTTATGGATACCATGGTCAAGAACGACCTTGCCCTAAAAGGAAATTTTGAAGGTGTTGAATTCCTGATATTCCCATCCAACCAACTTCCTCAAAGTTGCCAGCGTAAGGCTTGTTACAAAGTTGAGACGTTTAAATGCAGTTTAGTACCTGTAATTTTCCTTTTGCTTGGGCTATGTATTCTTTAACCCAAGATTCACAAGGCAAGGAAAACAGGATATGTTAGTTTTTACCACAAATTGTGGCTCTTTATGTACTGGCAAAGCATGGTCATTGGGACTAATTTTGATTTTTGCTTCTTGCATACTTGCCAAAAACACAGTTTTTTTATATTCAAAATAACACTCCATATATTTACCCTGTTAAAAATGTAAAGCTTCAAAACAACTGGATGAGCCACAAGTTCATTTCCTACTGCATTAGCAAGGGAAAAATGCAGTGTATGCAAAAAAGCAGCATCTCTTTATTCTGAAGTATGACAATTGGATCAAATGTGTTTTAGTAGGATGTGTAACAAGTTGCTTATGTGTTATTTTTTTTTCTGTTATACTCTCTGCATAAGGCAACATGGAAAGCTTCTATTCTACCCAGTGTTTTTTTTCCTGTCAACTATGGTGCTGCATGCTTGATTATAACGTGTTTGTGGTTCTGTAGGTTTGATCAAAGGATAGAATTTCCTTTTAGATTATAGGTGTGTTGATAAGGTTACTGTTTCTTTAGCACACTTTCTTCTGTTTCAGTTTGGGGTTTTGGTATTTTACTTTCTGGTTTTTGTTTGACAACATTGACAGAAATGGTACCGTGTACAAAATATATTTAACTGAGTTTTTGGTGAGCTACTTCATTCAGTCTTATTTAGATCATTTGTCTTACTATTTATACTTGTAGTGTAACTCAGAATCAATTGCTTCTTAATCCTAAATTAGTTTGGCAGAAATAAAACCTTCCATTCCACCTTTATGATTGACATTATATGGAAGTTCCTACGTATCAAATCATTTTAACATACTTCAACTCATAACCTCTTGAGAATTCTGATTTTTTAGATATCGATGACTGTTTCTTGATCTTAAATTTGCTGGGAAGGTTTTCATTGCCTGGCTTCCTGACTCTGAAGTTGTACATGACAGGACGACACCAAAATTTGGATGATAAAATTTGTGCTTTGTTTTTGCAGGATGGAATACCTTATTATTCCTCTGGGGTGTTTTCAAAGGAAGAAGAAAAAATTGCTCAAATTCCTCAAAGAGTGCATGCATTCCTGATGCAAGTATGGCATGTTCAGAGAGAACTACTTATATCTGTCAGCCAGCAGAGAATGATTCAACATATGACAGTTCATGCAATGTAGTAGTAACCAGTGCTGATGAAAAGACATGTATCCCAACCGAAAGAATCAGTGATAACAAGGTCTCTTCTTTCAAGAAGACATATGGAGCAATGAATGCAAAGCCAGATGGCAAAATTGACACCAAATACTTGTCGAGAATTGCAACTAGCAGCATAAAGGTTCATGCAGGCATGAAATCCAGTAGTTCTCTGGTAATATTTTCTGTCAATGCATGTAGTTAAAAATGTTTAACTTCATGTTGTTGTAGTTGATTTCTTCTTGCCATTGTTTGCTAATCAACCCTACAATCAGCTAGAGTTACTTATTTAGTGACATAATGATGTTAACAAGGAACTAATTGCTTCTTAATATCAGTTATAGATCTAGTTCTCTTCCTAGCTTTTCAATCAACGTGGTGCATTTTCTGTTGCAAAATGCTTATAGATCTACACATTGATCTTTCTGATTCTATCTATTTTTATTATGTGGAAGAATGTTGTTGGGTCTCTTTTCTAATGTTTGGCTGTTAAAATTTATGTAAGGTTCGTTTGTGTAAGTTCTAATCTTTTAAATATTTCATTAGGCCCAAAGTAAAATTTCACCGGCGCTGTTGCCTGTTATAACTTTGCACATCCTTAAATAAGTCAACATAAAGTCAAATCCGATTCATTCATGGATTGCTGTTGTGTATCTGTTTCTATGTTTCTATCTCGTCAGTGGGAAAGGATTAATAATGTCTGTAGTCCATCCTTAAATTTCAATTCGAATCGTTTTTTGTTGATTTGTTTATGCATTTGTGAGGTGGGGAGTATGACGGTTGGTTGAAAGAAGTATAAATATTTTAATCATTTTTCAGTTGATTTGTTTATGTTATTATGAACTTGTTGCTGTTGTTTATTAGGTAAACAGGAAAAGACAAACTGCTTCCCATAAATGTTTTCTGCCATTGTTTTGCAGGAGGTTAGCAACGTTCCAGATTGTAGATTAGACACAGAATTCAAACCTTGCCTTCAAGCTACTGAAACCATTATCCAGTCGTTCGAAGTTAAGAAAGAGGAAATATATGTACTAGAAGATCATCCATCCTTAATAGATCACCCTACGCGAAAGCCAGAGTCGGTTATTGTGGGGAAAATTGATGGAGAGTCTGTTAAAATCAGGGAGTCTAGGGATGATGGATATGCTGATGCTGATGCTGATGCTGATGCAAATACTTATTCAAAGAGAGATATCAACTGTTGGCAGTCGAATCGTCAGAAACGCGCATACTTGGATCTTACAGAAACAGTTCCAGAAATGTTTACTGATGCAAGTGAAAGAATGCCATGGAGTGAATTGAGGAGTGTTCCCATGGATGGAGTAAGTGATAATAAAAGGCTGGAGACAGGATTCAGTGGAATATACTCATATAACAGTGCTAGAGATGAAGGTTGTTTTAGTGATAGTGCTGCATCAGATAGACATGGTCTGTGTTCTAGATATTGTGTTGAAGAGAAGAGATGTGACATTGTATACGAGGAAAAAGTTAACCAGGAGGGCACGGGAAGTAGTGAAAGGTTCTTCTTCCCTGTGGGTTCGCACCGTGCAATGGAATTTCTGCCGGTTAAAGATGAAGGCCAAGTTGTCTCCCCCAATCTTGAGCTTGCTTTGGGGGCTGAGACGAGAACACCAAACAAGGGGATCCTGCCTTTCTTGGTTGGAACAGAAGACAAAAGTGACAACCGAGATAAGGTAACAGGAAAGGAAGAGGTGGATGATGTATCTGCTGCCTCCCTTTCCCTTTCCCTCTCGTTCCCATTTCCGGAAACGGAACGGAATGCAAAGTCTGTTAGTAAAACCGAGCAGCTGTTTCCGGAAAGCAGTCATGTGAATACTTCCCTGCTATTGTTTGGGGGATTTGGCAACAAATAGTGTCATGGTGGTCGACTTGTAAAAGTGTATACCAGGTGAGTAACTTCCATCTGTTCATAACCCATATATATATACAACATTGCGATAGCTTGTCTTTTGTTGGGTGCATAGTCATAGTCACAGCTATTTGTATATAAAGAGAATTAAAAGCCAATGCTTAGATCTTGGATGGATTTTTCTTAGTATGTTGTAATGGTTTATAGGCGCCTATTATCTATCTTCCTGTAAGCAGTGGTGGGTTTAGGCTACATATGATAATTATTAGTTTTATCAACGGTCAAACAATTATGGGATAAACATTAGGGTGAAAATTATATATAAACTTATTACCTAAAAGCTAAAAGGGTATATGAGACTCTTTACTTTTTTAAAAAAAAATAATAATGTGGCTTTTAAATTAATTTTGCATTCAATGTGATTTTCAAATTTATAGAAAAAGAATATAATGTGATTTTTTGGCCAATTATTTTTGTGATTGAGTGTTATGATATTGATGTGATATTTAATGGTGTCAATGTAGTGGTTTGCTATGTTGTGGCTGTCCATAGTGAATGTTAGCGTGATTGATGGATTAAATTAATTTTTATTGAGTTTGAGTTGTTTTTTTTAAAAGTTTAGGGGGTTATATGATATTTTTAAAAAATAAAATATTTAAAATAACTAAATATAATAAAACAGCAAAAATAAAATCTAAATTGTTAAAAATTAAAAGTATAATTATTTTTTTACCTCGAATTTAATCTGATTTTTATTTATATAAATTTAAACTTGTTCATCGTGTGTGTATATATATCTTTTATTTCAAATTTCAAATATATTTTTCATTTTATTTCATTAAATTTTTATAAAATTAAATTAAATTAAAAATAATATTTAAAAAGTTATGAAATTAAAATTTATTAATGAAATTATATAATTTAAAAATATATAGAAAATAATTATACAATTAAGAGGAATATTTTAATGAATATAACAAGGGTTTCAAGTACCATTATATATATATAAAAGAAAATCGACCTATTCATCAATTTTTGTTAGATATAACTATATTTTTTGTCACCTCCAATATTTTTAAGGAATAACGAATTCGTCTCTATAAAATAAAATAAAATAAAACTTACATTAGAATTGATATGTATGAACATAACAATATAATTATACTACTAAATAAAATAAAACTCAAATTCACCTCTAAATTCAGTAAATCATTTAACAATAATATTTTTAATCATTATGATTAATGTGTTTGTGTGTGTATATATATATATATGTGTGTGTGTGTTTTTTATATTTGTATATTTAAAATTTAAAATTTAAAATTTAAAATAATATTTAAAAAAATTTAAATAAACTCTAGAACATTGAAAAAAATCATTCTAGCCCTCGATCTCAATAAAAACTAATTTAATCCATTTGACGCGTCACCATTCATGTCACCAACCACCGTGAATTGTTATAACACTGTACCGCATTAGACTTTTTTTTATAAAAAAAAGTAAGTGTTTCATGTACTCTTTTGTCATTTTTAAATTCTTTCAAGGAATAACAAATTCATATGTGCAAAATAAAAATAAAATAAAATTCTCATTAGAATTGATATGTTAGAACATAATAATATAAGAGAAAATAACTTCAGTGACTGAAAATGCCTTATAATATACAGTTTTAACCAACTTTTTTTGGATTTGCGAAAATAACCAACAAATTCGCAACGCGAACTCCAATTTCGCAACACAGTTTTCAAATTCGCAACGCGAATTTCCCAAATTCACAACTCAATTTCTGGAATCGCAACGCGATTTTCCAAATTTGCAACACGGAATTTCAAATTCGCAACTCAATTTCAAATCGCAACTCATCCATCCTCTTTCACTCTCTCCGGCGACATCCGTTCCTATATCCAACGACATCCTTCCCCATCTATAATTGTTTTTACATAATTTTATTTCTATATAATTTTTCAATGATTTCTCTCCCAAATTATCAACTATCAACTTAATAAATGTATGTTTTTCTCTAAGTTAGTGATGATATCTAGTTTATAGCTCGTTTGTCTAGTAAATTAATTTACAATTTGTTGAATGAAATCATCTAATGTTGATCATGTTTGGATAGATTTGTGTTTTGGAGGGTCATGAGAGAATGCTAATGGTGTTTTACAATATATGCCTTTACCCATGATCTTCAACTAAAACTGTCATTAAAAAAGTTAACTTATGAAACTCTAATGTTACGTTTCAAAGAAATTGAATTTAGAGCCTCTAAGTGGATTTAGGCTATCTTATCAGAGAAAAAGTAAAGTTTATTTGTTAACTGACAATGAAGATGTTGAACGATTCATTGCTTACATTAGTGTTTCGCAAGATGATGTTACATTGTATGTTGTTGAACCTAGAAGTAGTGAAGTTGGTCAGTAGCGGGTAGTAATCAACTAAGTTCTTCAGCCCCAGTTTATGGTGCTCACAATGTAACGTTGTTATCAACCTCAAATTTAATGGTTCCACCACAATTTCATCACCAGAAATTTTGTTCACCATTTTCCAATACCAACACAATCTCAAACCACAACCTTTCCATAATCCAAATCCCAATCAACTTTCAGCACCAAATTCGTTTTCGTATTGACCAATTAGACGATGATGAGCCAACAGAAAAAAATGTGAGTACTAGTCAGTATTCGAAATTTGATCTGGTCATACCCGAACTTGATCTTGGTCAATACTCGGATTTTGATGATGTTTCAAGAAGAAACAGACCCTGCGTGTAATGATTTTGATATTGGTCAATACCCTAATTTTGATGATGAAACAGCCGCTGCCGAGGAAGATGTTGTTGATGATAATGAGGAGGAAGTTACGGCTGTGAATGAACATGTTGAACATCCATTCTGTAATTCATATAACCCTGAAGAAGAAAAAGAAGAAGAAAAAGTCCCCGAAGAAAAGAAAAAGAAGAAAATGCCACGGGAGTATAACTGGAATATGCCAGAATTACGTCAGATACCGGAAGAAGAGTTGGTAAAGATAGCAGTTGATTATTACACAAAAGTTATTCGTATCAAGAAAGATGATTGTTTTGATACAAAGGAAGACTTGAAGATAGCTTTGTATACGAAATATGTGGAAGATGGCTATCAACTAAAAGTTAACAAATCAAACAAATATCATTTCGAAACAAGGTGTATGATTGACAAAAAATGTATGTGGCGTATGATTGCAAAGAGGATAAAAGATTGCAAAATGTTTCAAGTTAGGACTTTTATTGATAAACATACATGTTCAAGAACCCAAGTTTTTCCTCACCATAGATAGGCAAACAAAAGGTGTTGGGTGGTTTTCTGGCTGAGTTAATGTTTTTGAATGGCAGGGTATATCGGGGACATGAAATTATGACTGACATGAATGCTCAGTTCAAGATTAGTATCTCATATTCTCAAGCTTGGAGATCCAAATGTTATGCCTTGAAATTGTTGAGGGGGTCGCTAGAAGCATCGTTTGCCCAACTGTCAGCTTATTGTCACAATTTAAAGCTGAAAAATCCTGGGTCGATAACTCATATCAAAACAGATAGAGATGGACGTTTTGAGTTGCTGTTTATCGCCATTGGTGCTACGGTTAGTAAATCAATATAATTTTGTTGACTCATTTTTGTTAGTTACATGCATTTCACATTTAATGATTATATTTCTTGTGTATATTATTTTGTAGATTCGTTTCGTTTATTACTTGCATGTGCCCAGTTATTATAGTTGACGGAGCACATTTGAAAGGTCGATACCTTGGAGTAAACTTATTAGCAGTAGCCATGGATGCTAACAATGGGATACTGCCAATAGATTACGTGTTTGGCAAATCTGAAACCTCTGATTCATGGACATGGTTTATGAGCATCTTAGGGATTGTATAGGTTCTATTAGCAATCTGAAAATCATATCTGATAGGGCAAACTCAATTGACAACGCTGTTAAAAGGTGTTTCCCAGATGCTTTTAATGGACTCTATGGTGTTTATTTGTACAGAAATCTAAAATCAAGGTCTGCAGGTATAAAAAAATCACAAATGAACATACTGGAAGGCTGTAAAAGCTTACCGGGAAGTGGATTTTAATAAGCATATAAATTGTTTAAGACGTGTTTTTCCTCAATGTGCTTAAACACTAGAAGATGTCGGGTTTGAAACATGGTCAAGAGTACATCAACTTGGAGCAAGATACATGACGTCTAATAGTGCAGAATCAATCAACACTCTAAGTCGTCATTCCTGAAAATTACCCATTACTATGTTAATGGAGTTTTTTTGAGCCTCTATTCAACAGTGGTACTACAAGAAAACAAACCATGCAAGTATTATTTCTTTAAATTCGTAACTTATCATATTTAATAGATTTTACTAAGTATTATTTATTTAAATTTACAGGAACATTGGAACGTCGTGTTACACCATGGACTGAAAAAAAGATAACGAAACGTGTTGTGAAGTCAACGTTATGGAGAGTTGAACCATGTTCAAACACTTTGTTTGAAGTATTGGATAATAACTTAAATGGGCTTGTCGATCTAAATGCAAAGACGTGTAGTTGTATGAAATGGTAAACATCTGGTTATCCGTGTGGCCATGTTATAAAAGTTGCTCTTCATCTAAACCAAGATGATTCAAACGCATACGCTATGGATTGCTACACTACAGAAGTATATCGACAGACTTATGCCGAGATTGTCTACCATATTCCACATCCTTCTGAGTGGGACATACCAGATGACTTACAAACAGTTTTGCCACCCAGTCATGGACAGAAGGCTACCTGGCCGACCAAAAAATCACGATCGTATACCATCTAAGGGTGAAGAGAAGAAGATATCGACATGTAATCAGTGCAAGGAAAGTGGTCATACAAGGTTGACCTGTGGATCACCAGTGCCATCACAATCATCTTTTCCTCTACCAAAATATGAATCTTCATCAAAATCCAAAGCTCATATAGTGCCAAGCAAAAGGAAATCAAAATCCCAATCACAACCGACTTCACTTTTTGGGACTATTAACTTAGGTGATTTTTAAATGCAAACGTTGTATTATGTGTATTTTATGTGTGAATGCATACATTTTCAGTTAGGAATGCATTAGTATCTTGAGTTTGA